TTCCTCACTTCAATAATCATATGATTTTTTTTTTTTCAGAGGTTATAAAAATTCTCTTGTTTGCGGCCCAGGCTAGTCATGATCTGATACCATCGGAAGTGTTACACCCGCTGTTAATGACTATTGTTAATAACTTTGTAACGGAAAGAAATTCCAGTGAAGTCATGGCCGTTGGGTGAGTAAATTTTGCTAAAATCTTAGCAAATCATTGTATCTGATTGAATCCATGTGGTGGATGTATTGGAAATCAATTCAGCTTGACAGATCAACATAATTAGTTTGCAACACTTTGTTACTGAAACAATATTTGGAAGGTACCACCTGTATAAATAGTAATACTGTATCAAAAAGAATTTGTCAAACAGGTGGTGTTTTATCAACACTATTATTACATTTACAGTTATCAATGTCAACCATATCTATGATGGTCATCGGCTTCATTGTCTCCAACACTACTTTATTTCGGCTTTGTAAAAATATAACAGTGTAACTTCCAATTATCTAGGTGCACTGTTTTCGCTAATTATAATAACTTGTCATGCTCCATTGATCAACTAAAGAAACTTGTGTTGTATTTCAGGTTAAATGCAGTTAGAGAAATATGCATACGATGTCCTTTAGTAATGAATGAAGATTTACTACGTGATCTGGTGCAATATAAATCCTACCGCGAAAAAGCGGTATCCACAGCTGCTAAGTCACTTATCCAATTATTCAGAACTGTTAATCCAACTTTATTACATAAAAAAGACAGGGTAAGGCTTCATAAGTTTTAAATTTAGTTTTTCAGTCTAAGTGAGCATACAATGCAGTTTATTAAAATACAATATCACAGCGTGTGATTGTACATAGTTTATATTATCTAATACTGCAACAAACAAATTATCATCAACCCAAATTGTTGCTGTTAGAAAGAAATGTGTTTGCCTAAATTAAGGAAAACTAGTATGTTTTTGGACTGATGCATTAGGCATCATTTTTAGTCCCTGTTCGGACGCAGTCCGAAAACGGGGACTTAATATGTTTTGACCTCCGTGCGTGTGTCCGTCTGTGCGTGCGTTCAGACCTGTATCTTAGAAATGCCTGGATAAATCACAATCAAACTTCACACATACATCATACATGATATTATACATATGCACATCAATTTATCTCACGATCTGATTCAAGATGGCCGACTGGCGGCATTTTGTATTAATGAATGTGGTTCTCGTGCCATATCTCTGACTTGCTTTCACTGATTACGTTCAAATTTGAAATATTCATTATACATCATGTCATAGATAGACAGATATATTGGTTTGACGATCCTATTCAAAATGGCCAAATGGTGGCCTTTTTTGTGCAATACAATCATCAAATATCAAGCATTTCTGGCATTTATGGATGGATTTCGTTCAAACTTGGTACATATATTAGACATTACAGGTTCCTGATGCACATCATTTATTTTTCAGATCGAATTCAAAATGACTGTCTGGCGGCCATTTTGTTTTAATGAATGGGCTTCTAGACCCATATCTCTTAAATGCTTTGACTA